GTGTGTGTGTGTGTGTGTGTGTGTGTGTGTGTGTGTGTGTGTGTGTGTGTGTTGGTCACCAGACAAGCCCCTGCAGCATGCTCTGCATTTATCCTCTAAACCACGCCCCAATACTGAGTGTGTGCTTATAACTGCAGTTTGAGTCAGAAAGTTAAACAGCCCAACACTCAAAACACACAAGATCTGATCCTATTAGCCATTACGTCATTGACACACTGCCACGCATGAGTGGCCTACATGACAAGCAAAGGAACATTGAGACAGACAATGAGCCAAGCCTTTGTCAGTAGCCAATTAGAACTTCCCTTCTATAAAACGACCCAGGGACATGTATGTTGTATGTCAGTCAGTAATCAGTCTCCCATAGAGAATTGCTGGCCGTTACAGGGACTATTTTTTATCTTACACCGTGACACCGTCCTGGATGTTGAACTATTGCCATGGCAATAATTGACGTGAATTTGACCCATCATCAGAGTTTCCTGTGAGTTTCACCGATTACAACAGTCCCCCATGCAAGAATCTTAAGTCTTGTGAAGATCCAGATGTGTGAAATGAAGGTCTCTAATTTATTAACAACAAATTGCTGCTTCCATGCAAAGCAATCCCCTGATGTTCTGCACAAAAGCAACATAGCAGTGGAACACAAACACATGAATGAAAGTCCCTTTTCTAGCCTGTAAAATCCTGGAGAGATTGAATTTCATGACTCATTGGTTTGATCCCGTGTGATCAGAACCGAACTAAAACTCTTGGCACTTCTTTTTTGTATCTAAACAGATGTCAAGGAAATGTGCGACGGCTGCTTTTACAATTTGCAGCAGCATGACAAAACGCTGTAACATTAGGGCATCACTGAAATACATTCACAAACAGAAAGAAAGCTCTATCAGAAACATAGTTTGGAAAATACTCATATCTGCTAAATCTAAATCCCACAATTGAATAAATACTACTTCTGTGTCATGAACATGTGTCTCCAAATTCTTACCTCCACCTCACAGGTGAAGTCAGTCCCATCCAGTAGGCTCACATGACAGACCACCAGTTTCATCTTGGTCTTCCTCACCAGACGAAGAGGCGACTGAAAAATGGAGGTTTGGCCTTCCTCTCCTTCACCTTGCACCTCTCCTTCCTGCTCCTTCTTCTCCTCCTCTGCGACCTCTCCCTCTGTTGTCTCCTTGGTCTCTTCAGGACTTTTCTCCGCACTCTCGTCCGCCTTCTCTTCCTTGGCAGGCTGAGGGGGGGAAAAAATAAAGTTACACCACAAATGCTTGCAGGGTCTTCCACTGTCGCCCCCTTACTTAAAAAGTACCGGTCCTCCTTGAAAAGTCCCCATTAGTTCAGTGGCATGAGGGAGATCACTTAAAATCTGCCCGTCTGACGTATGTTAGAGAAAACACTCTTGTCGCTCTCTTGTGTTATTCCCCATCTAGTCTGAATGAGCTGTTAGAAACTACAGGCGTTTTTCTTTTGGCCTGATAACTAAAATGTTGATGTCACTGGGTGGGACTGGGTGGATTAATATGATCACTGGATGGAATCATTTATGTGTGTGTCTGAGTGTACTGCTGTGAAATGTCAGTGTACCTTTACAGAATTGTGACAAATGGCTTACAACTATCGGTCTAACAGTGACTGATCACTGGGTTTTGAACACTTCAACAAGTTAGTGACACAATATGTCAGATTCATATAAGAGGGAATTTGTTCAGGCAAAAGACTTTTAGGCACTCCAAACTACTGCAGTAGTTTGAGGTGAGGCTCCTCTGTGTTTAGGGAGTAGTTAGGGTTACATTAGGAAGTATCCTTATTTTGGCTGAATAAGTTAAGTTAATTGAGAAGATCAATAATGCGGCACTGTTTGTTCGTTTCTTGGCTGGGAGCAGTAACATCCTGTCCCAGCAGGTTCGCTGGTCACATCATGCTAATGAAAGTCTACAGACTGCCAAGAAATAGTCGTGCACATAACATACCAAAAATAATTGAAACCTGTTTTTACGCTATGGCTTTTGTAAGAGTAAAAAACTTGGTAAAGATTTGGTGAATGTGCTGCAAGTGGTTTTGATCTTCTCTTCAAACTCTTAAGAAAGTAAATAAATAAATGACCCAAAATGTTGAATTATTGCTTCGAGGTGTGGGTGTTTTTCCACTGTGTGCCTTTCGATCAGAGGTTCCAAACCCCCAGGCCACAGACTGTTTTTATTGCTGCGCTCTGTCATTTTTATAATTCATATCAAGGTTCATTTGTATGTTGGCAAAATAACCAAACAGACCTCGGCCTGAGTCAAAACATGTACATCAGCCTACAACCAGACCAATAGAAGACCACCTGTCTACTTCATCTCTCAGAGCGTGTACCGTTACATCTGACTGATACCTCAGTGTCTGCACTGGCGTTGGAATGAGATTCTATTTCTTGTTCTTTCACTTGCTCCGACTTTACTGCCTCCTTCTCTTCCACTTCCTCTGCGTGACCGTTTACTTCTGGGGCAGGCCCCTCCTCTTCCTGTTCCACCGTGTTACTGGCTTCCTCTGTGGGTGGCACCTCCTTGGTTGGAGAGGTCTTCATGGGTCAGGGGGAAACAAACGCAGACATTAAAAACCTAATATGGATATTCATTGATTTATTCCCAGTTATGATAAAAGTAAACATTTTATGCTAAATAATATAAACAGGGTTTTCTATTCTGCCATCACAATATAATTACTTCAGTGTGAATTCACTGCACCTGGCTTTGAGACTTCTGCTTCTTAAGCCATGTTGGCAGGTATCGAGATATTCCTTTCCCCTCTTTCTCCTTCTCCTTTTCTTTCTCCTTCTCGTCACCCTCCGCACTCGCTACTTCCTGGGTTTCTTCTGTTGCCTTCTCTGATTGGTCCGGCTGAGCAGCTGACTCCTCTGCTTTCTCCTTCACCTCTGTCTCAGATCCCACTTCTGTTGTCATGGTGACAGGTCAATCTGCAGAGAGAGAAAGGAGAGGAATGGATGAGCGATGGATGACACTTCAAAAAAAATGTCACAGTGACAAAATTAAATATAACAGTTTAATTGCAAAATGAAATGAAGCTGACATTATTAGTATTATATTTACATTTTATCTAGGGTTTACTTCATAGAGTCATATGGATACAGAATCACTTGCACACTGAAAATGATATACATTGAATAAGACTGCATTTTGTATTGACAGTAGGTATTTGGCAGAGTGCTGGATAAAGACTGACTGCACCACCGATTTTGGCACCAACATTAAATTTTGATGGCAAGCAGCTTAGATTTTAGTCTAAGTATCTTTTATAAATGAGCCACATGGCATGCATGGTTTTTATCTTTGAGTGCTTTCAATGTTTTCTTCACAATTGGAAATAGACAGAATGGTACACTCAAAATATTGGATATAGGATTTTAGGTACCACAGCTATGTAATGAAAGCAATAAAACACCAAAACTAAATGTATTAGGATTGCATATGTAAGTGAGTCTTGGTTATTTGTCACACAGATGTTAGCACATGAGCTCATAGCTGTTTGAAACATTAGCTCTTGCGTTGGGCGTCTCCTTTACCAAAGCACACAAAAACACAACAGTTTAGGATTTCATTATGTCACACAGCAAGCTTCATCTGGGTCAACGGCTCAGCAGCTGGATACAAGAAGTCGTACACATAACAGACAACAAATTGACACAGTGAAATAAGGCAACTTACTCAATTCTTAATATCTGAGTCATTGGTTTTACCCTGCAGCTGCAGTCAACACACACACATGCTCTCTTCGACCCAAATATCTTTGGCAGCACTGTCCACACGCCCAATTAAAGCAACACACATCGTTATTCAGCGTGACACTAATTTGCTGATAACACTAGATGACCATGACATTGGTCTTGAGGGCAAGTTGAGAGCAGGATGTGTAATGTACCTGCATACACAAGCTGTTGTGTGTTTATGCCGTTATGTGTGTGTTTGCCAGATTTTTTGTACAGAGCCTCAGGCCGAGGTTTAAGCATGATTCATACACTATTAAGTCATTGTTATCTGCTGTCCTTGTATCTGTTCTGAATCTCTCTAACCCTGTTTTTCTTCATCACCCACACTCTCTTTCTCTCGCCGCCTCTCTCTGACTCTATTATTCATTACATCATCTCATTTTTACTTCCTGGCCATCTCACCAGTTCTCTTCGACTTTCTCTTTCCTGCCATGCCACCTTCAATAAGAGAGGACAAACACACATACACCCATGCACAGTTTTACAGCACAGCAGCGGTGTGTAGGGAGGGGGTGGGGGTAAAAATAGAACAGGTCTCCTTATGCATGATAGGCTAATGAGGTAGGGAGGGGAGCAGGAGAGATGGCTACAGATGTGTGTATGTGTTTGAAGGCTAATACATTTTGTGACAAAGACAAATACTACTGATGTATATCTGTCCAATTCAACATGCCGCAAATACACTGGATCAATCAACATATTTTGTCCTTATGATAGAGGCAAACGATTCCATTCATACCCAATGTCTTCTTCAATTTACCCAATGCTACAGTAGTCGACATAATAGGTCTGGTACAGGTACCTAATAACTGCAGTTCCCCCTCCTTTGAGACCCTATGTTTCTCATTAGACTAGCTCAGGGTGGGTCCCTGCAGATGTGGTATGCCCATCAAGTCGCAGTCAAGGTGAAGGACACACAAGCAGCAGTAACGCTACATCGCTGACAAGCATCAAAAAGTAGATGCATAATGTCATGCTCTCCAAAGAAAATGGACAAATGTATTTTGTTTTAGTTGAAGCAAAAAGATAAACCAGTGTGCCAACAGTTTACATGGACAGGCTGAAAGTAAATCTCCAGCACCACCACAGCTGGAAACATGCCGCTAAACTAGGGTTTGTGAAAACAAATAGGTTTAGTAAGAGTTAAATCTCCTCAGCAGAGTTTGTGTGCCCAATAAGCAGCTTTATGATAACATTCTGTAACAGACACTATTATACAGGCAAGTTGTTTTAAGTGAGCGAGCTAATAGCTAAGAAATTGAAACCTCATTCTCAAGGTGAATTAGTGGAGGAGTGCTTTGCTGCTGCTGTGGAGTGGCTGGAGAGAGGTAAACTTTTGTATTGCGTGCAAACACTGTATTTTCCAATTCTGCAAGAACAAAAGCTTGCCACGACATCTGAATATCCTAGTGAGTTTGCAAAACTCCTACAGGCATTTGGCAAAGGTTTTCAGGACATGTATAGTCAACAGAAAGGAACTGAACATATTTAATAGGCTGTTTAAGGTGGAAACCAAATGATGTGTCTTTAAAACCTTCAACACAAGATCATTGAGCTTTAGAGCAACAATGAGATCGAAGCTGCAACAACCTCTCTCTGCTCAAGTTCTACAAACTGTATGATTTTCGCCATTCTGAGGAGACAATTGTTTGTAATTCAGTTTGGGATGACCTGCTGCTGTGAGCTGTTCCTTTTAAAACAGACTCTTAAAAAGATTCAAGTTCTGCTCAAGACTGACTGACCCAAAAATGCAAAATAATCTGTGAGTGGTGGCATCATCATCATCATCATCATCATCATCGTCACTACCATTTGACATCAGACGTCTCACAAAGGGAGGGAGTTCCACAAAGGTTAGTGTGATATATGTCTTTGATAATTTTGTATGGCCTTTGAGGGATGTTATAAAAATTGTGGCCCTTGTGAGAAAAAAGTTCCCTGCTGCTGGACTAACTGCTAGTTGTGGGAGTGTGTGTGTGTGTGTGAGCTGGCATCACCGGGCAGCTTTTTGTGCAAGATGTTTGTCACAGCCACTTAGCTCTGCTTTAAACAGTCCCTCTCTCTCTACAACTGTTAAAACACCGGTAACCTTGTTCTACCTCTCTTAAAACGTTCTCTATCTCCTCCTCATCTCTGTCTTTCTCTCTTTCTCTCCATCTTTCGCTTCTACTCATCAATCCAGGGCAACTCACTTTTTTTCCTCTAAATCTCTGCACTCATCTCTCTCTCAATCCCTTTCTTCCGGGCCCCCTTTCAATCCCCTCCAATCGCCCATTCGCATTATGTCCCCCTGACGCCCCTCCTCTTTCCCTCTTCTTCCCACAGTCCATATAAACAATAGCGGTGGCATCATTACAGCCTCAAGATGTATATATATCATATACATCATCAACACAGTGAGTGTTTTACGACAGGAACGGATTTAAGTCAGTGTTAGAAAACTGTACATCTTCAATGTCCAGTATTCGACTTAGCAAGATCTGTGACAGAGGAGTAGGGTCAAACGTGGGTTAAACATCTTTGCAGCAGACCTGCGTCACAAACTCCCCTCCTGCATAGAAAAGCCTTCGTATGTGATCAGATGTTATGTTTTGCTGTTTCATCAAGAGGGTATGACTTCACACAGAATTTGCCTTGAGGCCAGTGCTGTTCGTGTTGTGGTTATGTTTTTATCCAACAATTTTGTTGTGGATTAGTAGCGATAAAGTGACACAGTTTTCCAAACAGGGAATAGAGAAAAGCCTGCGGATCCACGATAAACACAAACTCAGACACAGCTACCAGCAGAACTAGATGAGGTATTTGTGTGCACACACAAGAGGGATGTTTTCTTCTTATTCAGCTCCACCAACCCTTTCCTCCATCTCAGTTTCCCTCTAAAACTCCCTCAGTACATCTCAACTTACTTCCTCATCTAATCGTCATCTACGAGTGTACATGTTCGCGTGCTACTTGACTCATTATTTATTTAGGCTTTAGTTTTTTATTTGAGCCAGCTAATCCATTCAATACTTTGCTTTTCAGTGGAAAGATGTAGCACATCCCAGTCCCACACCGTCCCAGCTACGGACACAAACCAAAGACAAGAAGACAAGCACAAATGACCTTGATTAGACCTTTCAAACACTACAACCTACCAGTTTTCATGTTAAACCTCCCCTATATTTAAATGAGTGGTTGAATGAAATGTTAAATGATCTGATGGACACAACTAAGTGGCTTACCTACTGTCGCTTCTGTTGCTCTTTAACTCCTTTCTTTCTGCCTCTTCCCTTTAATTCCTCTCACCTCCTGTTTTTCCTTTCTGCTTTTTCTCACGTTCTTTTGGCTCTTCAATCTCTCACTGCCTTTATCGCTCTGTTCATGTTCCTTTCCTTCACCTTTATAGTTCCCACCTCTTAGCAAACGGCTGTCCTACAAACTGCCATTGCCATTTTCTCTCTTCCATCCCCCGTCTCCCTCAGAGCTCTGTCTCCCCCCAGGGACGATCGCTCTCGGAAATGAGGGCAGAAAACGAGAGAGAGAGAGAATAGAGAGGGCTGGTAATGGTGGTGGTAGTGGGTTGGTGAAGAATTAGAGGAAAGCGCGGCGAGAGAGGTGGAGATGTGGAACATGGAACATGGAGGGGTATAGAAGAAAGGAGAGAGATAGAAACCCCACCTACTGTGCATCCATATTCCCTACTGTGCCAGATTACTGATGGTCACACAGCATTAGAATGGAAATAACAACTTCTTCAGCTGTCCTTTTCATGTCTGTTCTTTCTTCACTGAATCAAAGGGAATGAGTAATGCACTGAAGTCCATTTTCCTGAAATCTTCTGCAGTGGCTGAATGTGAGAAAGCAAATGTTCGAGACAGTTGCTCCGGACAAGTTCCAGAACTCTGAAAATGTCAGAGTGATCCATGCGAGAATACAGCAGGCACAGATCTAGACAAATTTAGAGTGGGTGTGTTGATGTCGTTTCTGACACGCGGTAGATGTAAAGATGAAAAGAAAACAAACAAAAAGCATACAAATAAAACTCCAGGGTTGCACCACTTAGTTTGGACAGCGAGAAACTTTTGAAAACAATGACACAGACACCAACATTCGCTTCCTGTTTGTTTCTTATCAGTCACAACTCCACTACCAGTGGTGAATGTCAAGCTCTGCCAACTGTTACCTGCAATACATAGACAGACAGATTTCATCAGTAACGTAAAAGTCTTTTATCAGTAACGGTTCATTTTTCAAACATTACTTTCAAACGCAAGACTAAGAATTCCTGGCCTTGAAAACTAAATTTTACATCCTACAATAAACAAGCAATTACTCCTCTTGAACAATAAACTCATGTAGATGCTGAACTATTTTCTTTTATTTCATTAGATTCCCTAAATGAAACTCATTTCCACATTTATAGTGCTGTGGTTTCATCCTTCACAAAATGCAGCTGCCTGAGTCAAGCAAACCGGCACGCACACACGCGACAGCCACTCCACTTACAACTTTATTGCTGTCTGACTGGGCTTTAGGGGTTGCTGTCATAGCAACAATTTCATGACCTGGTCTGTGGCTAAGAGATAAAATTTTATGAGAGACAGAGGATGAGGTGCAAAAGTCAAAAGAGAGAGATGTGATAAGTTTAACTTTCTGGCTTGGGTGTTTTCATATTTTTGTTTATTTACAACCCCATAAAGCAGCTATGAAAACATTGATCTAATTGGAAAAAAATACACATATCCGCTCATCTCACTCTACGGGGAAAGTTGAATATAGAGGGGTGGAACTGGTTTCCATGGTAATGACATTCATGGACTACAACAATAAACCCCAATGGAAACAAGAGATTATCACAGCACAAATACAGATTAGTGGACGTAGAAGTGACAATAGAGCTTATGACTGTGTCTAAACCCATTTCAAACCACATCAGATATTACGTGGTGATCCAACAGGAAATGCAGCAGCTACTTTTCCCTTGGCTCTCATCACTGAGGTACCACACCCAACAGAAAGGGTGCTTGGATCACAGCAGGTCTGCACTGAATATCTAAGTATGCACCACAGTAACAATTCCACTTTAACGCTTCAATAACATTTGACAAATTTACATCCCAATTGTTCCACATTGTTCCAAGCTTCTTCAGTACTGTACAGTAGTACTGTGCACTTGAACCTCTATTTGAACTGCATCACTCCAATCCACTATACCTGCCCACTATACAAAGCTAGTGGGCAGAAAACAGCAGAAAAATCTAATCCATCTAATGAGCTTGGTCACATTTCCAATTATCACTTACCTCTGCCATGGCCCAACAACGAAACCACATTTAAATTCACTACATTCAGGTATTTTAAAAACTTATTTGGATCTGCAGCAAACTACTCATAAAACAGTCCCCTTAACATGCATGATCTTTAATTTAATCAAGTTTCCCTTAGAATGTTCTTCTCTTTCTGACTATTTAATTTCTGACATCAGTTGATATGTAAATATCACCCTTCACTCTTATTCTGTGTTTAAAGTCCTATGTCCTGCTAAAATGTATTAACTTGCCCATCATAATGTTATGAAACAATGCCAGTATTATATACTGTAGTATTATAAACCTTATTCAGCGAGCACATGTGCATGGGTGCAGGGTGGACTCAGTGTATATATAGTGAATGTATATATTTCAGGGAGTATTCCAAGCTTTGTTCTGGAGTGGTGTTTCACTGCATATACTCCGGAGGTGATGGTCAGGAAGTTTTCGCTCGTTATTGGCACAGTCGCTGAATGTTTCAATTGCATCTCGTACTGTAAGTACTGTATATCATATCCCTTTCAGTGTTTCCCACAGACTTAATTCAATGTATGGCTGTAGTGGGGATGCACGTGAGGTTGCTCTTACATACAACAGTTAAACTGATTTAAGAGTGAATGAGAAGTTCTGAGAGAGAAAACAGCATTTCCAGAGCCAGTGTCTGGCAAATATTGCTGCAAATAGCTGCATAAAGCTATACAATGCAGCAAAAGGGCAAAACACACAGTCACAGATCTTTTCTTATTATGAGAAGAACTGGATTCTTCTGATTCATTAAAAAAATGTGGCATGACAAATCAGAATATGGTGGGCACCAGTCTAGATAATTATTGGGAAACTGCCTTTGAGCACATACAGGGTATCACTTAGTGCTTTGTTTAAAACACTCATAATCATGCGTAAAGAAACAATTGCAGTGTTTCAATTGAGTAACAGTTTGTTTCTGACAGCTGGTGTACACAGAGTGCAATGAGTTCAAATAAACAAAGCACTGGAAATCAACTGGCCTTCATACAGCCCAGACTAATGAATTACAAACCCAACCCTGCACATGAGACGTCCCAAACGTTGAACACTGATGCACCAAGCTAAGCTTGTTGCACCAGCACAGTCCAACAGCTGACAGTTTGGTTTTGAAAAAACCACCACGCCCATCCACAGAGGGCACAATCCTAATCTGTGCTGTCCTCTTGTGCGATCTGTCCATCTGTCACGCAATTGGGCTCCCGTACACACACACACACGCTGAGATATACCACACACACAGATATGTCGCGCACACAAGCACACCAGATTCTTAAACATATGTAAACGTGCACTAACAGATGCACTGATGAAAGCACCAGCTATGGGTTTGTGTTTTCAATCATATAGATACGCACACACACATGCACACGCACACACAAACTGCTGGTGTGAAAATTTTGAGCTTGTCCATCGCTTCCCACTCCACTCTGAAACAGAGGATTACACAAAGGATAATCCCTGTGTATGTTTGTGTGTCTGTCTGCATGCCATCCATTTATCCCTTCATCTTTCTCTCTGAGCATTTCCAAACAAATGCATTTTATACATTTCTTTATTCATTTTTTTCTTTTGATGCATTTACATCTGGTGTCTGCAATACTCCAGAGTTTAAAGCCCCTAAAACTGACTCGGAGAAACTGTTGGCTGGGTTTTAAATCTCCAGGGTTGCACCACTTAGTTTGGACAGCTAGAAACCCTTTGAAAACAATGACACAGACAGCGACATTCGCTTCCTGTTTGTTTCTTGTCAGTCACAACTCCACTACCAGTGGTGAATGTCAAGCTCTGCCAACTGTTACCTTCAATACATAGACAGACAGATACTTAATTGATACTGAGGGAAATTTAGGAACAGTTCCACCTCATCGTGAGGTTATGAAAAGAAGTGCCTGATCTTACTTTTCATAATTATTATTCTTTATTTGTAAAATTATTTGCATTTTAACAATCAACTGCAGAGTAGAGAATCTACTTCCTGTTTACAACATCACATGCATGCCCAGTCTACAGAAATGGTTGTGTGATATGCTTTTACAGGTGTGTTAGTAAGGACAGATTATTCCAGATATAGATCTAATTTGTTTTAATACAAAACCATATCAATGTGGACACACAGCCTCCGTCTCTGCCTCTACTCTGACCCACACCTGACAGAAACCTTTCACTGTCCTGTAACCACACAAAGACTCACAACTGTCTCTTCGCTGCATTAGGTTTGAGCTCAGCAAATGAAAGGTCACCTTATAAGTGAGGCTCAAGTGACCACCACTATATCATTACTTCTGTTACTGTGTTGTTACTGTCAGCTCCAAAGTGCTATAGTCAGCAGTAAAACTCTTTTTCAACATGAGGACCTTCCATTTGAGCCATCAGCCTAACTTCTCCCAGGAATAGACACTCCAGTGATACTGGCTAAATTAAGTCACATCTCACTCAACTCTGTTATACATTAAGTACATTCAACGGAGAAAACACCAAGTTATAGATCTCTTATACTATTATGACAAGTGTAAAAAAAATTGGGACATTATGAAACTGTGGTGAGACAAATTAGAACATTGCAGGCACAAATGGGTTTTTATAATTTAACTATCCTAAATAATGTTGACGCCAGAAAATATTAGCCATGAAAATTAAATAAAATGTAAATACATTTTATGCCCTCTTTCTTTTTCCCCTTGTATGTGTGTGTGAGAATAATGGGTCAGCTCATAACTGCTATTGTCACCCGCTTAACTCTCCTATTCAGCGATTAAAGCAGTCAGGCGCAACCTCCCCCATCAGCGTGAACGTGCGAGACAAAAAGTGAAAGTATGGGTGGGTCACACGAGTGAATGCAAGGAGCGAGGGGGGAAAAAGGCAGAGGAGAGGAGAGGAAAGAAAGCAGGCATTAGCTGGGAGGAAGAGAATGAAAGAAAAAGAGAGACAGTGAAACCTGTGGTGAAACTCCACGGCTCTCTCGGGTAGCAGTGGGTGTGGTGTTACTATGGCAACATACATCCCATAGAGGGTGGTAGCAAGCAACAGGTGCTTTGGCAAAACAAATGACTCCATGGGCATTAGGACTTGTGTGAAAAAACACCTCGTCCTTTGGCACAGACTTGAAAGAGGATGTGTGGATCAT